CAATGATGGATGGGGATGATTAGAATTTTATTATTGTAGCCACAATAAATAAATAAAATGGATAATTGTGGATTTTGAGAATAATGGATGACATTTATCAAAGCGAAAGATCGAATTGTAAAATTTTATGCTTGTGGAGATTATGTTGTTAAAATTTTATGTTTGTGGATATTATGTTGTTAAAATGTTATGCTTGTGGAGATTATGTTGTTAAAATTTTATGCTTGTGGAGATTATGTTGTTAAAATTTTATGTTTGTGGAGATTATGTTGTTAAAATTTTATGCTTGTGGAGATTATGTTGTTAAAATTTTAAGTTTGTGGAGATTATGTTGTTAAAATTTTATGTTGTGGAGATTATGTTGTTAAAATTTTATGCTTGTGGAGATTATGTTGTTAAAATTTTATGTTTGTGGAGATTATGTTGTTAAAATTTTATGCTTGTGGAGATTATGTTGTTAAAATTTTATGTTTGTGGAGATTATGTTAAAATTTGATGTTTGTGGAGATTATATTGTGAGTTAGAACATTATTTGTTTTTATCAATTTGATGTAATTCTTCAAAACTGTTTTTTTCTTTTTTTTAACCAGTGAAGAAGAAGAAGAGGATGAAGTGAAGTGAGTATTTCAACCTGATACAAGAGCCAATATCATTTCTTAGCTGTTCCTTGAAGTGTTAGGGATTATTGTAGAATTAACTAAAACCTGATACAAGAGCCAATATCATTTCTTAGCTGTTCCTTGAAGTGTTAGGGATTATTATAGAATTAACTCAACTAAAATTTAGATGTATTTTCCATTTTTCTCCTGAAATTTAAAGAAAAGAACCTTATAAGTTGAAGTACATAAGAAAAAACGTTATTGGTATTTAGATTATTGCTGCTATTGATATACATATGAACAAAAGATAATTTCAAATCAGAATTACCGTTTTTTTTTTTGACGATTTCTCTTCGATGAATATAATTTCAATAAAAGATATTAAAGCAATAAGTATTTTTGTTTCTTCGTGGAACTAATTATTTTACCTATTTACTTCCTTCCTCACATGGGGGCGTCTCCTTACAACCAGGGACCAGAAAAAGTAAGAACCTTCATTATGACGTCTTGCATCAGTGTAGCCTAAATGTTGAGATGCTAATGTGACGTATGCTCTGTATACTAACACAATACTCACCGTGGAAGACTTGCAGAGCACAAATAACCAGTGATTAAAATTCATGTCGGTCTTGAAACAAGCTGCTTCATCTTCCCATCATGCATTATTGTCTTAATTTGCGATTTATATATTAGCTCTCCAAGTTCAATATTTTCTATTTCATGGTAGACTGAATCCAAAACATATCTTTCAGCTTTTTTTTTCTTTTTCTTAGGTCATTGCCCCAGCTAAAGAATTAGGTCCGTTGTGTATTCACTGCGCATGTGCTATAGACAGTACTAAGGGCAGTGCTATGCATGCCGTGTTTACTGTGTGGTTTTTCTGAATGCTACTGCAATGTTTCAACAATATTTGTCATTTTGTTCCAAATTAACATTCACAACTTATTATTTTTGTATCACAGCGCATGCTCTGTATACTTGTTGACCCTAATAAAAAGATGTTGAATCATAAATAAAATTCCCCAAGATAGCTTAAAAATTATTGTTTTAATAAAAGTGAAAAATGTCATCATTTTTAACGCATTTTCCTTAGGTAGAAAATTCTGTTTTATTAAATGCTTCTCTGAAAAACATATGATAATAATCTTAGTTTCGTCTAGGAGAGTATAAATTGAGTAAAGGCCCGAAAACTGTGACCATTTCTTCCTATTCAACAGTTTTTATAAGGAAACCATTCATTTGATTCAACAGTAAAATGATTTTATTTGTTTTTGTTGTATTGCTATTTACTCACTGTAAAAAATGTAAAATACTTCATGACCAGTGAATTCAGCGAAACTAGTCTGCTAGAGTGGATATAGCGAACCAAAGATTAAATTAGGCCTTTGTGTCATCTTTTCCTCAATAAATTAATGTTTTGTTGAAGAAAAAAATTAACAACTAAATAATGAAACAGTTTAATGATCATCCGGTTTTCAGTAATTGGTCACATATTGATTCAACAATAAAACGGTTTCATGTTCATCCTTTTTAAAACTATTTGATCACGTATTGATTCAACAATAAAACAGTTTAATGATCATCCGGTTTTCAGTAATTGGTCACATATTGATTCAACAATAAAACGGTTTAATGTTCATCCTTTGTAAAACTATATGATCACGTATTGATTCAACAATACATCCTTTGTAAAACTATATGATCACGTATTGATTCAACAATACATCCTTTGTAAAACTATATGATCACGTATTGATTCAACAATACATCCTTTGTAAAACTATATTATCACGTATTGATTCAACAATACATCCTTTGTAATACTATTTGATCACGTATTGATTCAACAATACATCCTTTGTAAAACAATATGATCACGTATTGATTCAACAATACATCCTTTGTAAAGCTATATTATCACGTATTGATTCAACAATAAAACGGTTTAATGATCATCCTTTGTAACATCGGTAGAACATTGAAAATCTGTTTTTAGCTGTTCCTTCGTTGCAGGTTTTCCTAAGCTCACAAGAAAAAGAACATTATTCTATGTGTTCAATAAATGCTTGTTCTTTATTCATTACGACAAAATAAGACGTTGAAGCATTGAGAAATTCATCTGCACGATGTTTGTTTTCATTATCCTGATTTAACCTGCAAATTTTGAGCTATTTGACATCTTATTATTAACATTAAACTTTTATTATTAAAATTACCTTGTCCTAATTTCACATGTTCGTCAGTTTACTTTTAAGGTCGAAGTCAACATCACAGAAGTTTTAAAAAATTCTCTATAGACTCACAAATTGGCTAAAAATAAATCTTAACCCAAGATGTCTTGTCGGAGCAATAATTTTTATAATTTCAAATATTTACGTTTTATACTAATCGTTGGAATAATATCTATAGGACAGATGAGGCGCCGAAGGTCTCTGAAGCGGAGTTAGCCATGGAGGTAAGATTACTAATCATTAACATAGGGTAATAACAGCATTAATTATACTAACGTTACATTGTTGATTATACCAACGTAACATTGTTACATTGTTGATTATACCAACGTACCATTGTTACATTGTTGATTATACCAACGTACCATTGTTACATTGTTGATTATACCAACGTACCATTGTTACGTTGTTGATTATAC